GAGCGATATCCGCCATTGGGTACGGCAAAAAAGTACAGGGTACGGCACGAATTACCGGGTATGGCTTGAAATTTTCCCGGGTACGGCACGAATTTCCGGGTACGGCAGAATTTTTGAGCGGGTACGGCTTGAATTTCCGGGTACGGCCAGAATTTTTGAGCGGGTACGGCTTGAATTTCCGGGTACGGCTTGAAAGGAGTTTGATGGGGGTGATATCCGCGATGTCATACATTCGTAGTTGAGCGGTCACCATGAAAATAATACTGCCGCGAAAATATCACGTTTTACGGTATGAAAATTAGGATATCTTGACTTACGGCATATTCCGTAGATCACATTGACTTGGGTGTTACCGTCTGGGGCGCCAGCTGGGCTGTCGTTTCTCTCGGCGCCACTCAACTCCGACGCCGAGAAGGAATCGCGTCTCCTACGCTGGTTCCCTACGGGTTAAAATGAGCAATTTTTAATGCATTTTTTCGACTATGCTGTTGAATTGGAGGAATCAAGATATGTAACATAATAAATGTGTTTATGGAAACATTCTAACAAAAAGTGTTAAAAAGGAGTTTAACACATCCACTGAATACAGACGGTTTTTTTCGATTTCTTTTTTATCCTAAAATGATCTTGAAAAAAGGTCCTTTTAGCAACACTGTATATCTATGCAAGACTACAGAGAGCAAAGCTATCTAAACGTATGATTTCCAGTTATCTTTGTCAGCTAGCTAGACTGTCGCTTCCCTGAAATCCCCTTTCTCCTTCCATACTTCATCTCTTAGCAGGAAATCCCACTCGAGAAGCTTCTTTCCTAGATCTACGTACAACACTATGCGACAAGCTTCCTTGTGAATGTTTCCCAAATTGGGTACAAACATTTGTCTTTACTGTCGACCATTGTATCCCATTGTAACCTAAAAATGTGAGTGGCCCCGCTCACATGATTTGGGCTACAGCATGAGCCTTGTTTTGAGGTGAAAATTGAAGTAGATAAATGAGGGGGAAAATAAAACGATTTGTTCTGCATCTCCAACCGAAGGAAATCCAACCCTCGGTCAGGCTGAAATCTCGGTTGATACGGAATACAAATTGTCGTGTTGTAGTTAAAACTTACCATGTCCTTCTGTTTTGAAGGTAAAACGTACGTCGCAGGCCTGTTCGTAATTCCCAATAGAGCCAGGAGAGGTGTCTGGTGGTTCCCAAGGTTCACCGCACCCGTCCGCCATCCCTTAAATTTGGCGGGAAAAATCGTCAGCAACTATCGTCTGTCAGACGAGCTGTTGTTGTCGTTTGCTTTTCTGTCGGCCTTCAAATGTCTAACTAGTGAGGGATACAGCGAGTGTTGTGTGTTTCATTTTAGATTTGTTATGAATATTCACTATATTTCCTCAGACAAATTACATATTTGTCCTAGATATTTTTAACCAATGTCTTGTACTGTGTATGTTGTTTGTGTTCCTATAAGAATGTATACGGGTATCGAAGTGATATGATACACGTATGTTGTGTGAAAAGTACTATATTAAACGATCTTGGAGTATAGACGTATTCCTAGAGACATTTATCGCAATAACGGTAATGTTTTTAAGGTGTCACCTACTAGCTAGAAAATGTCTTGTTATCAAAACATAAATGGGTCAAACAAAGATCATTTAGGCCACACCGACTTAATTTTATGGATGACATCCGCGCGCGATTTTCGTTGGCTATCAACCCCCTTTAATTTGATCATGAGTGTCCCATGGCCAGGCCTGTTCCAGGCTATCAATTCATTTTGAATGGCTACAAGACCATGGCCAAACCTGTACAAGGCTGTTATGGTTTGTAGCATGACGCAATCACGCAACCACATGTTAGTGACTCGTTCCCAGGTTTCGACATCAGGGGCTAAAATAGAGATTTACCGAATCCCGGTATAGTGGAATATTTCGCTAACAATCACCCCTTGCACACCCCTCTTCTTGCTCGTAAGTATTATATTGTTCCGATTCTCATAAATTTAAATTTCTTTTGGACAATATACGATATCTTGATCGTCCTACGACAGAAGAACGAAGAAGTGCAGTACGCAATCATCCCCTATGTGAGACTCCTTTGAAACTCTTTGTTTTTGCTAGAGTAACATGTAAACAAACATGGCGGCCCGGTTGTAATTAATGTCAGTACGGCAGAATATCCGTCGTGTTCTGGAGTATTTAGCGGAATTTCAAGACCACCAACCTTCCGTGCACCGAGTTAAGAGAGCAGACAAGCATAAGGGATAAGGGCAACCATAAACCGGGATGAAAACGCAGACGACAGGAGATTGGTGTCTGGTTCGGTCAACAAAATCTTATATTGTGAATGCAGTAAACTGAAAGAAACGAATGAATGATTGAACGAACGAAAAAGTGAAACGTGTCCCTTGCCTATGCCTACGTTTTCAATCAAGTGAGTTCTGCACACGACTCGCACACAGTAGACTGTTGTTGCACTTCACCAACCGCCAGAGGTCGCTGCTACACGGTACATCTGCTGGATAGCGTCAATACGTTTCACCGACGTCAGGGTGCTTTGCAGTGAATGGGACGCAAATTTCCTACTCTAACCCTAATCATAACTTCAATTCTAACCATAGCGATGATAAAAACAACGTCTAAAAATATGGGACGGCGAAACATAACAGGAAATGTTCCTGTTTGTGACTTAATTTAGTATTTTGTACAAAAGTTCATCACAAAATCCAATGTGCAACTGTGCTACTACAGTTACGTCATAGTTACGTCAGTCACAGGAAAATGTGACCCTGCAGTTTGGAGACAAATCGCCAGAGGCCACTGCTACACGGTCCATTTGCCGGATAGTGTCAATACGTTTAATTAATTCTAACAATAGCGATGATCATAACAACCAAATTTCAGCTAAAACATGGGACTGTAAACCATAACAGGAAACCGCAATTTCGGCGGCGTTTTCGGGAATGTTACTACGAAAGACACGCTATTCAACATGTGAACAAACACGGCGGCGCGGTTGTGTTTGGTGCGCGACACGGTAGAATTGGTCGTGTTGGCTTCTTAAGAACCAGAAGAAACTACACAATATATAACTTAGCATTTGAGTCACGTTTTATGGACATGTGTAGCGCCACCCGGCGTGATCTGCATAAAAATTATCTCATTTGTATGTTCGTGAGATTTAAATGGTACAAATTACTTCATTTGCATGTTCGTGAGACTTAAATGGTTCTGACCGCACAACACAGTATTCATGGGCGAGACCCGTACGGGTACAAAGTAGTGCTGCACAATACTAGAGAAAGGTGCAGACATTGCTCTGTGCATGACATCGAGATGGAACCTGTGGTAAATGTTAGAGGAATTCGTCAGTTTTGAGACTGTAAAAAGTTGAATTATGTGTTCAGTCGGCGTAGATTTGCGCTTTGATACTTGTACGGTAAGTTGTGTACTACTACAGTTACGTAATAGTTACGTCAGTCACAGGTAAATGTGACCCTGCAGTTTGGAGACAAATCGCCAGAGGCCACTGCTACACGGTCCATTTGTCGGATAGTGTCAATACGTTTCACCGACGCCAGGGCGCTTCGCAGTCAAGAGAGCGCCTATTTCCAACTCTAAGCCTAATCCTAACTTCAATTCTAACCATAGCGATAACCAAAACAACGGCTAGAAATATGGGACTGCGAAACATAACAGGAAATGTTGCTGTGAGTGACTTAATTAAGTATTTTGCACAAAGGTTCATCACAAAGGCCAACTGCACTACTACAGTTACGTAATAGTTACGTCAGTCACAGGTAAATGTGACCCTGCAGTTTGGAGACAAATCACCAGAGGCCACTGCTACACTGTCCATCAGCCAGGTTTCGTCCTGACGTTTCGCCGACGTCAGGACGTTTTGCAGTCAAGGGAAAGACTATTTCATACTCTAACACTAATGAATTCTAACAATAACGATAATCATAATAACAAATTTTTAGCTAAAAGCATGGGACGGCAAACCATAACACCAGTCAGTTCGGCATATTTTAATAGTACAGGGCGAAGAAAAGCCGATTTGTTCCTCCTTAAATTCATAAAGTTGAATGATGAGGAGAAAAATGAGAGAAAATGGATAATTTCGTATTCGTAAGATGAAAGCCATAATTAAATCGTCGTATTTTTCAGGCCTGCATGTGTGATGATTGCCCATTGGCCTGTCGTTAATCTTTCGTAAACGTAATTATCGAATTCAAATTTTTCTCATGATTTACAGGTGCAGGTGACACGTGCGTGAAACACGTCATTCCAAGATGGCGAGCGTGCAGTGGAACATGGAGAAGAACGAGCGGGTACAAATTCCACCCAGGAAGACGCGCCACGTCCGCTTTGGTGGTAATTTGTACTTTGAATTGTCGTAGATACTCTCCGGACTATTGTAGATAAATCTCGTTTGAGGAAAATGAAGCAAAAAGACAGAATTTCGAAATTTAAGTTGAGGCATTGTTCCCCATGAGTTAATGCTGCACTAAGTTAAGCAACCGCTGGGGGGCGTAATTGTGTGGTCCAGTGCCCTGACCTGTAACGTACGTGGTTTACGGTTTGTTGTTGTCCTGTGTGCTTTGGTCAAATTCTATGCGTTTCAATGTAAAACAAAAGTGTTCCGAGGCCAAGAGAAGGTAGGCTGGACATGATAGCGTTGTCTGTGCAGAGGATGACATGGACAAGGTGATACTGATAGATTTGGAAGGAGGGGAGACAGACGAACGGTAAGTTCGAGTGGGGAGGGGGGCGGTAACAGAGTTGTTTTGTTTCAAAGACCATATCCAGGGTAATGAGATACAATTCATAAGTGACATAGCAACCAGGAAGGTAAATGTGTCGGTAGAAAAGACACCAAGAATTCACCATAGGCTTAAGTTAAAGGACTGTAAGAGAGGCGGTATTTTGGTCTGTAACAGGTCAGGACTTTTCTACATGTAACATAACGTTATTATGCATCATTAACCAGTTGTTGAGCAGTAACATTAAATCCCCAACAGACTCTCGAACTTGATTTTGGTAAATCCGAGATTGGAATTTATTTCTGTATTTGTCGTGTAAACCAGAGACAAACTGATGACAGCCAACAATACTTGAATATAATAATTTGTATGCCTTGTTGCTGTTACTGAAGCTCATGTGCATTTGTTCCAGATTCTGAATTGAAATACATCAAGGAGCTCCAAACCAAGGGAAAGGTTTTCAGAGGTACTGTAGTTATGTAAAGTTAGTTATTTTTCGGGAATACAACTTGGCCACAAAGAACAACAAATGGTGGTGTCATTGTGGTCCTGGGTTTGAATCCCTAGGAGTTCTAGCAGGTCTGTATACAGTCAGCGGCACGCGAAGTTATTTCATGACCTGTAGATCACAGATTAAATGTCATTCACTTAAATTTACAAAGCCATTGGGGTCAGGATAACTCTTCTTTCATCATCTAATCTGTTCATTGAAAACTTCAACTGCTTCCTAAGTTGAAACCTTATCATTCCTTGACATAATTGCAATGCATTTACATGTATGTTATTGTGTGCAGTTATTTTTAAAAAGAAATCATGTTTCATTGACTCATGTTTGCATGTCATGATGATGGTTTATTTGATATTGATACATAAATACATATTTGACATGACATGTTTTTCTCCATATGTATTGCCAAATTACTGTTTTATTTCTGTACATATGAGCTTGACCTGTTTTTTCATGAACTGATATTTGGAGTGCATTCTACATGTATGTGTGTCATTGGCTCTTATGTTTTTTTTACCTACAGCTAGCTGTATTGGATTTAATGAGTGTTAATACGAGGTGCATATTATGTTATTTGGAAATTGTGATGTCACTTGTGTGAGGATGCATTGTTTGGTTATGATATTCTATGTAATACTATGTTCACTGTTTGTTGTGAAAATCCAGATGGTACCCAGGCTAAGGTTCCATGTGCTCTTCTCTCAACCAAAGCGTTGAATTTTGATACCTTACATATGTGTATCATGTGTGACTGTGAGATGTGTTTTCACATGTACTGGTCAGAATATTTCTATGTTCACTTTTGGCTATGATCTTCTTTTGCCTCACTAAGATAACAATGTTCCATGTACTCTTTTCCCAATCAAAGCAGGTTTTGTAAGTAATGTAATGTCATGAAATTTTGGCATGAAATTTTTCTGACTGTTTATTTCTTTTACACCCTAGCTTATGGGAAGCCG